TACCTCGCATCCCAAAACAACGCCCAGATTCGCCATAAAAATACCATAAACACCAATTCTAGAAGACCAGATAAGTTCTCGATCTCTTCCACACGCCACTGTTTTGGTTGGGGAAAGTTCTGAAAACTTCGTTTCTTGGCGGTCTGTCGCCCGGTGCGCTCGGTGTCTTGCACAACTGCACGTTGTGTGGTGAACTTGAGCACATTACATGTTGTCATGTTATTGGCAAATTCTTCAGACCAATCACGCGTAAACAACAGTACTACGACTTTAACGTTCCTCATTATGTTTGTGTAATTTGTTTTTCCACAAAATTTTGCATAAGTTTTGTTTTCGTTTCGTTAAGTGACGATTATTAGTCTCAAGAGTAATCGAAAACAATACTTGTCTATTATTTTTCTCGGGGAAAACAAAGTGCGTCATGCGGAACGTGAAACTCGCAATTCTACAAACGGGAAGATCCATGTTTTGTCACGGATCACTGTGCGCGTGATGGAAAACTCAGTATGATTGGCTCCCTTGAAGAGAATGGGCGCAAAATGGATCTGCTCATGGCGCTTGATGTAAAGTGTACTAGACGAGAACCCAACAACACCCATCTGCTGAGCGTTATAGACCTTGCGAACATACTTAAATTCGGGCATGAATCTTCCTCTTTCACTGGATATTCAATTTTTACACTTGCGTTTCACTTGTGATACAGAAGGGGCTGTTCTTACTAAATACTCTCTTTCGGGAGGTTAGGGATTCAAAACAGTTCGTGTACAACAGTTTTAAGATTTATTCTTGGGTGCCGGCATTGCGGGCTTTCCGCGATTCGAAAAATAATGCGGTACAAAATTTATTCAGGTGCGGGAAATGGGCTCGGAGATAATCTGAGACAGGGAATTCGATTTTGAATTACAGTAAATACCCTAGGTCACATAGACTTAGACGGAGAAAGAGCGATCTAATAGATCGACATTGCTCTCTCTCTCTCTCTCTGTGTCTCACGTTGTCAGCAGATAGTTTTGAGCACTTCTCTAACATTATTGCAGACTGATTTTCACCGCGGAGCGACTGCTAGTACAAATCAACAGACAGCCCTGCGTCGCAAGAAAAAGAAAAGCAAGCGTCTTGACACGAGCACAAGTGGTATATTTGTCAGAAGAGGTGTGTCTAGTCCAAGAACCATTCACTGTCTCGAAAAAGACTGAAAATTTTTTTAAATACTGCCAAACAAGATGGTGGTTGACGTCCAACAAAAAATATATGTATGTCTCGGTGGATATAGAAAACAATTTTATTGAATGTGCACGTTGAATCAATACCAATGGGATACGGTTTTCAGTGTAAACCTGTAGTTAGCACACCTTTATTATTTTAGTAATCAGCCTCGTCGTTTATTTCCACGTTTATTAGTATAGGTAATAACATGATTTGTAGTGATATTTGGCATAAATACCACAAGTGATATTTCAAAATTGTTATACGTAATTTCACGAGCCGTTAGGCGAGTGAAATTTGAGAGAATTTTGAAATATCACGAGTGGTATTTATCCCAAATATCACGTTCAAATCGTGCTATTATTTGTTTATACTACTACCCACAAACGGTTTGTAATTTTCACATCTAGGTATTTCAAATTAAGCTGAAATACCACTGCTCTAAGCCAATCAAATCGCAGAAATTTCTCATGTAGTAGTATAAATATCGTAATTCCTTATTTTTATTACTTTATGGGATGTACAGTGTATATAGTTACAATAACAGCGTAATATGTTTTTATTAATATTATTATTATTATTATTATTATTATTATTATTATTATTATTATTATTATTATTATTATCGTGTTTATCTGTTTATTTTCTTTTATTTCCTTACCATCAAGCTGAACTTTGATCCATTTCCCATTAAAGTTAATTAACGATTAATATATTTCGATGTTCGTACAGTTAGACCGATAGTGGTAAGTTTAATATGGTAGTTTCATCGTCTTAAATTTTGATATACCGTTCGTTAATCTTAACCCATGCATGTCATTTGTGTCATTATGGCATGGAAAAACTGGCAACAATAAACCTGTCTTGTAAGAAATCAGGTTATTAACAGGTTTAAACATGGGTGGTAAAACGCGCAACATTGCTATTCAACTCGTTTTTTAGCAATTTTGCAAAACAAGTTGCACGCTTTTTGTTGCCCGTTTTTCCGTACCTTTAATCAGGTTTTATTTAATGACATTTATTGCTTTTCCTACACTATGTTTCTAGCACTGGAGCCAGGATGGCTCTTAATATGTTAGGCTACTCAGTAAAATATGTCGCCTTACAAGACTTAATTTGATGTGCAGTGTAGATAATTGGTCGACAGGGTTCAACTAATGTATTACAAACTATAATGAATAATAATGAATGAGATATTGATTTAACCTGCTGATTTCTACTATATTCACTACTCACTTCTCACTACAGTGTTGCAATTTTATTATTGTCAGTTATTTATTTATTTTTTTGGTAAGCTTTCTCATGGAATAAAGAGCGATGATGGGATTCCCATTTAGAGTTTAGATCTGTTTAGCGATTCACTCTCCTTTCGTCTTGTATTCATGTTGTCCATAAATGCAGTTTCAGAAGTGAAGCGTTTCCCCTCGTAGTTTCAAACATTTTATGTATACACTTATGAAATTATGAGTACATATCTAAACATACCGACTCAGTAAACCCAACTTTTAATTAAAACGGAAATTCAATTATGACCCATTACATGCTCACGTCGGCTTAAATTCGATACTTTTGTAACAGCTCTGTGAAGTTCTGTGAAAGAATTAAATGAAAATGAAAAGAACTCTCATAATGGCGGCCTATTAACATATTCTTTTATATTTATGTTAATTAGCCTTTCTGACCCCGTTTGAAAGTAGGAATTCTTTTGTATTTTGCACATGCTAACGAGATCAGAAAGGGCTGATTTTCATACACATATAAGAATATATTAATTCACTACTTTCACGTTAACCATAATACACCTTGTTACCCCCAAAAAATTTTGCATAAATATTGTTTT